CCTGCAATCTGGGTACAAAGCTGAAACTGAAGCTAAGCTGACACACTGGACAAGTGTCAAAATCATCATGGTAATCCTGTGATGGGCAGGGGTCAGTCTCCAACAATACCAGCAGGTGCTATTAAAAATCAGCTGGTTGGTCAATAGCAACTTCTTTGCCCATCTCTTCGTTTGGCCTTAAAACATGACCCCTCCATAAAGAGGCTCCTACAATAAAGAAAAACACCATAAAGATAGAAGGGGTGCAAAAATGCAGAGGTGGGTGCAAGCTTTTTGTCCCCCCAGCTGTCCCCTCCAAGGTCACCTCAGCAAAAAAACTTGGCTCAGAATCTGAAAACTTTTGACAAAGGGTCATTCCAGATTTAAGTGTTAGGTTGTTGTGTGATGCCAGAGAAAAATTCCCAGCAGTAGGAGTACTGAAAGTACTTGCTACTGTCATTACACTGAATTGCAAAGCAAAGCTGCCACTGACTTTAGTGGTACAAGGTCACAGTCTCAAATCAAGATGGGAGATGGCGAGCTGCAGAGGGCAGACATCACATCAAGAATGTGGTGAACCTCCAGGAGGCAAAAATAGAGGCATGGGATCTCTTTCTGCAGCTCTGCTGACTTCAAGGGGATGCGAAGTGTGCAAGCAGCTGCAAGCATGGTTTAAAGTTGGGCAAAGGCTGTGAGAAAGTTACTTGGATATAATAATAATAAAAACAACAGCAACAAAAATAGTGATGCCTGTGGTGTTTTTTTTTTTCCCATAGAGTAGTGAGCACACTAGCTGCCCAAACAACACATTTTAAGTGTTCTTTCAGAATATTCACTCTAGGATTTTTGCCGAAATTAATTGCCTGAGCTGTAGTGGACTCCTCTGCTCATCTGGCATTAAAGACAGGAATCAAAAGGAACTGTTGAAAAGACAAGTGCAAATTCCTACTAGACCTTTATCCTTTAAATGTGCCCCAGAGTTTCCAGCAAATATGGGAGTAAGATTAATGTACGAAACCTTATACGTGGAAGTCTGCTCTCTCACCCCTATGTTGGTGTTAATGGCAGTACTCCGCTCTGTAAAACTAAGCTACAGTCAATTTCCAGCAGCTCCTTTCAAAGGTAATATATTGTTTTGTTATTTTCTCAGAAGTTGGCAGCAATAGAAACAAAACCTCTCTGGAGACAGCTAGGAGTAAAACTGGCTTGTTTCAGATCAGCATTCACACTAAAAATTAACTTCTGTTGCCATAAAGAGCAAGTTTCTCACTTATTGCTAAATCATGCATAACCTGTCCTTCTCACACCCCCTGCATCATCCCCCCCTCACTGTCTTCCCTCTCTACTCTCCTTTGCTTTAAAAACAGTAATAATTTCCTTATGAAGTGACTGGATATCATGCAAGGTCAGATTTTGTCTTCCTCATTCCAGAAAAGCACTGCTTTCCTCGGGAGAAGAAAAAGATCTTCAGATGAGCAGAGCATCAATACTGACTCAAGTTATATCCTCTTAGCTCCTTTGCTTAGCTCTTCCCTGCCTCATGTGATGTCACCAGTTCAGCCCAGGGTATGAATTTGAACTATCTCAGCTAAGGACAAATGTCCAAAAGATTTCTAAAGCATAAGGAATAAACACCAACATTTAATAAGACTCCACTTAGTATTTAAAATGTGACTTTACACTAAAAGGATCATGGAGAGCAAGCAAACAAACAAACAAGCCCCTAATTACTAAATACATCTGCTGCTTGGGTGAGTGTCCTCTCCTCATCTCTTAGTGTAGTATGAGGGGGTGGTCCCTAAACTGCCAGAAGGACAGAGCCAAGCTCAGAAAAGGCAGAAGTCAGAGCTGTTCAAGGAGCTCACGGGTGCAAAGGGATCAGGGAAATCTGAACTCAGGTCCCCATTTGCAGCACGGCTCCTGTGGCACTGAGGCAGTTAGGACAAGGTCCAATTCACCAGAGCTCACACACCAGGTCTGAGACTGCCCTGGACCTTTCAGGAGTCAAAAGATAGAGACACATCCAGAAAGCAGCTTATCCCACTGCAGATGTCGAAGGCAGGCACCTGCTGGACACAACCACTTTTCTCCAATGACACAAAATGAAGTCTAGGTGAAGAGCTTGGGTTATATCCCCGTCCTCTAGATAGGCAGAGTTCCATCTGAACACTCTCTGCCTCAGCTCCCCCTCTAAAGTGAAAAGCCTTTCCTCCCTTGATAGGGATGTTACAAAGATCAACATGCTAAACTCTGTGACGTGCTCAGCAAAAACACATGCTAGTGGAGGACCACTGTGAAAGCACCACATATAAACAGGAAAAGGGGCTGGGTCTGAAATCTGCCCCCAGACACGAAAACAACATTATCTATACATTCCAGCCGCCCTTGTTTACATCAGTGCCAGCCCTGTCAAGGCAACAGGATTGCAGGAATGGGAGAATCAAAGCTATGCCCTTCCCAGACAGGATGGTACACAACTGAGAAACATCACTGCCTGACTGGCCCAGCCCCAGCTGTGCTTTCAGGCCAGGTAGTTCAAGTCAAGCCTTTGTTCACTCAAGGCTGAGTTATTAATTTAGGATTCACTGAGGCACAATGAACAGGGAACCCAGTGACAATGTATTTATAGTCTCTCTCCTTACAATGGGAGCTTGTAATTTCCAAGGCAGCTCTGGCTTGTGTTTGATTAGTGCACTTAAATTTCCACCTGGGCTTTTATAATAACCAGTATTTTCTGTCAGAGCTTGCACTTACCCTGTTGGAATCAATTCTTGTCCTGGAGGTGTAGATGGGTGGAGGGATGTTGAAGGCTTGAGGAACAAGATACTCTTCAGCATCCATCATATCTTCCAGGTCTTCCTCATCGAGAAGGTTTTGGAAGAACTTGCTGTCATTTGGGCTCGGGAGCTTCATACGATCATCTCCCTAAAATGGGTTGTATTGAGAGGAAAAGACTCAAAAGATAGATTCATTTCCCCAATAGGGAACTTCAGCCTTCTTCATGACCTGGTAGCCAGGCTGCAGGGACCACACATGCTACTTTGTTTGCTCTAAAGCACCACATCCACAGCATTTGTTTGGATTGTATTGCTGGGAATCGGGTGTCAGAAAGGGACTAACTGCATAAATCAAGCAACATAACTTTTTGGTATTCTTGTGATTGAGCTTTTTTTTGTTCTCTCTTTTTCCCCATACAAGCTCAGATTCTGACCCAAATTCTGTTAAGGCCTGATGTATATTGTAAAACATCTCAGCTATTTAGGCGTACATGAGGGGGTGGAAATAATATGGAAATGGCCATGTCTGGGTGTTTGCTTTATTTTCATTTGTATTTTTAGGGACTTGAAGGCTGAATATCCCTCTCGCCCACACAGAAAGTTCTGCAGAATATAACAGAGTATTAGAAGCAATAAAAGTCAAACCAGAGAACAACAGTAAAAACAACAATATGCATTTCTATTTAAACATCATCTACAAGATGCAGAAGCAAACCAGGGCTACCCTTTGCAAAAGGCAGCCCAGCCAAAAGCTCATAGAAATGATTCTAAACTTAATTGCATGGCCTAAGAATGGTCTCCCACTCCCCAGAAATTGTTATGTCACATGTGGAGTCCAGCAGGGAATGATGGCTGTGTCATGGGGTGCATACAGGCTGGTTTGAAACCTCAACAGCAATCTGTCATTCTGGTTTGCATCTGGGGGGTCATGGGGATCATAATGGCAGAGATGCCAGTGCAAGGGAGTGACTTTGATTTCTCCTCAGGAAGCATGTGGCCTATATTGTCTGCAATGGTACTGGAGAAGTCCCACAGGATAAAATACCCACCAGACTGTACAACAGGGGAAGAAAGGGCGGGAGAAAGGCAGGGAAGAAATATTTGGAATAGGAAAACAAGCCCTGTCTAACAAAGTGATTTAATCAGACTGATTTTTCCAAAATAATTTGTATCAGCTGACCTTAGATTTTAACTCAGCGGGGAATGCTGCAAGAGAAATACCACACATGCAGCAACACAAAATCACAAATCCTCTTGACTAGTCTTTTATTTTTCAAATATATTTTACTTCTCCTCCAGCTGCAGGAGAGTAGTGGACGTTCCCTGTTCAAGAACACTCCATGAGTAAGGCCAGTATGGCTACAGAGGGAAACAGCACACCATATGGTGAGACTAGCACTAGACCCAGAAGGAATCAGGAGACAAAGTGGCAGTGACTGTACTTGTGGAGGCTCTTCAGCTGGGAATTCTTACATCAGTGTGAAGCTAGGGACCAGCTGAATGTGCCTCTGTCCTGTACTCCACAATGTGGAGCAGCTATAGCATGAGATACGGCACGAAAGTGTCATTATCTGGACCATCAACATCACTTTACTGCTTTTAATTTTTCATTTGCATTTGACCTGCTCATACACTGGGGCCCTCTAAGGACCTTGCCAAAGAGACAGATTGGGTGTTTGTGGCTTGGGCCTGAGTTGCAATAACCACATACACAACTCTAGGCTCCTGCAGAACGTAGGAGTGAAAGGACAAACATTTCCACATCCACCTGTCCTCACTCCTTGCTTTAAGATCAAGAGCAACTTGAATTTAAGAGATTCAAAGGCAACCTCCTTAACAGTCAGGTTTGCCAGACAGATCCTTTTTTTTAATTCCTGGTGCTGCTGAGCTGCTTACCTGAATTACTAGGTATCTCTGAGGGTCTCGAGCCATTCTAGAAAATTCAGCAGCCAGCTCCTTGAATTTTGGCCGACTGTCCGCATCAATCATCCAGCCTGGGAACAGATGAAAGATCAGAAAGAAAACAGTTAATTGTCAAGGGAAGAAATAATTCAGTTTTTAAAAATGCACAGGTTTGAAACCCTTGATAGCTCTGGCCTAAAGAAACATTGCAAGAAAGAGCACAGAAGAATGGAAAACTAGAATTCCTTGATGCATCTAAAATGGAAAACATTTGATCTTGGCCAGAGAAGACTAGACTGTCCATACTGCACAGATTTCCTCCTGATCTCTTCTGAGCTCCCCATCCCCAAAACAGAAATAGCAACAATGCCTTGCAATTTTCTGTGTCCTTCTTGCCCATTGGGATGTTACCTCTGGTTGTCTTTTATCATGCACATATCCAACCTCTAATATAACAAATCTGATCTCGTCTTGAGTCTAGTGGGTTTATTACAAAGTTACTGCTAGACACAATTTCACTTGAACTGACCTACCATTCCACAGTGACTTAGATTAAAAGCTGTTCACCTATAGGATGGCTGACCTCACAGCTGCCCTTCTGGTAATTCTGCATTCACGTGGCTGCATCATTAACACAGCCCTCACATGAGGTATTAGATGCTATTTTGAGCAAGTAAGGGTGATTCTTTTGTCCTTCGCTCTCAAAGAAACATCCGTTAGGAACAGCAAATCTCAATCCCTGCTAATGCTTTCTGCAAAACAAGCGACTAGTACAGGTAGTCACCACCAGCAACTAGTTTGTTTCAGTGTCAGCTTTTTCTAGTGGAAGATGCTATCAGCAGCTTCCAAAGAACAAATTCTCATTTGCCAGGAGGCGCAACAGAGGAGGCCTTATCTCCTTCCCTTGAACTGAAGAAGTGACCGACGCAGGGAAAACAAAGCTACTGTAGCTTATAAAGAACTTTACACTAACTTTACAGGACCGAGTATGCATGTCTAGCTGTATCTTTTCATCTTCCAGAATACCCCCCATCCACTCCTACTTCCTTTTGTCCGCTCATTAGAGATCCTGTCAGGTGGGACATTTTTGCACTCAACCGACACAAACCCCTTGCACTGTTCAGACCATCTCTGTACCCGCATGCACAGAACAGCTATTTTCAGAAGACAGGTTATTTACCTCTTATAGTTTTATTTTCATTCTCTCAGGGTTTAGGTGTACAAAGCAAAAGGGAAAGGACTATATAAGATGGATGCAATGTCTGTGTGTTAATCTCACTTAAATTAAGCCAGAAACACCATAGAGATGTTCTTAATTCTTTTAAAATTAGAATTATAGTCTTGGAGGATGCTGTCTCTAGTGCAGGTATCCTGGAGATAAAAGGGTAGGAAAAGCCACATGTAGTTTGTTTTCCTTTTTTTCTGAAGTAAAAATATTCATAAATCGTTGTGCTGAACTAAGAATGAGAAAAAATGATCCTCTGTAGCATTTATTGTATTAATTTCATGTAACTTTCTATTATTACTATCGCAATCATCATTCTCATTACTGACAATAAAACATTCATGCTTTCTTTTCTTAATATTTCCTTTCTTTTCCTTAATATTTGGAAGCAGCATTTCTCCTCCTCACAGCCTTCACTGGCTGGATATCCGTGTACCGTAATTATGTTTAATAGTATCTTTTTTTAACATCAGAATCAATTGTCACGGAAATGACAAGGGTTTACAATCACAATCATGCAATTTTGACTTCACAGCAAGAATATGAGATACCATCTGACAGTAAGCTAACTCAACCTTTGGTAGCTAAATTTGTATCTCTTGCAACTGCAAGAAGTGTGGATACACTGTTTAAATGGAATTTACAGCATCTTGGGAAGCCTTTGTTTTGATGCAGCCTGCCCTGTTACCCACCACTGATGCAAATTTTCTAACACATTTTAGTGTCCCTCTTGCACTGAGCACAGGGATATGAAAAGCCACCATTACTCACATTTCACCATCACCATATAAACATCAATAGTGCAGATGGGAGGCTGGGGCAACCGCTCTCCCTTCTCCAGGAGGTCAGGGATCTCTCGAGTTGGGATTCCATCGTAGGGCTTCCCACCAAAGGTCATAAGCTCCCAGATAGTCACTCCTGGACACAAAGAGAGAGATTTAATATTTGAGGTCTTACTACTCAACTTCCTTGACAATTCTTACAGTGCAGCACTCTGGCCCAGCTCTAGCCTGCTATCTCTTCTTTGTTACGAGTGTCTGTAAAAATACTGAAGTTTGGCCTGCTGTTCCAAAAGCCCCAGAAAACTGGGAAACAGCACTTCCTGTTAATCATCACAGGCAACTTCCGTAATTTTTATCGGTGTAATACGCAGCATGATAGATTTGAGGCACATGAGAAAGGTGTAAGATAAATAAATGGTGCTAAAGTAAATGGATGCAGTGACAAAAGTACGCATCACACTCTTACCATATCAAAAGGGAAAACGAATGGCTGATGTACTCTAATATTTTAAGGGGAAAAAACACAGATGTTCCCTAACTTGGAGCATCAATTTCCCACAAAGGTAAAGCACTGAGTAACATTATGTAATTGTCTTCACCTTGGAAATCATTCATACCCACTTGTGTTGTACTTTTGTTTTTTTTCTTTTTCCTTAAAACACTTTATGGATTTGAATTATGACAGTGCTGTGCTTCAAACCCAAGATTCTCTTTTTGAATAGCCATAGGATTTGTTTTGGTATCAGAGCTGGAAATAAGGATCATATATCATAAGTAACAAAATTAATCCCCCAACACATTCTTAAATATTGAAAATGCTGCTCACACATCATGTTTACCTTCTATTTTTATTGCAAAGGTCATTTTAAACATGCCTCTAAATCAGTAACCATATTCTGCAACCTGTCACACTAATGTGAAAAGGTATGGGCAAAATTACCATATGCATAAAGCACATATTTATTTCACCCTCATTCACCTCTGTTGATGCTCAATAACTATAACTCGCCAATTGTTTTTGGTCTTGTTCTTTCTGATTACAGATATTCTGGGCTTCTTGCATTTAAAATTCATTCCATAAACGGGGGCATATTTTTTCCTAAGTGATGTGGGGTATAGAGTATTTGAGGAGAAAGAGCAGCTTTACATGATCCATTTAACTTTCATATGTTTTTCTCATCTGGATGGAAAACGGCAGTGAAGAAGCCACAGCAAACTGTGTCTTTTGCTGCTACCCACAGGTAAAAGTGAGTAATGAATAGAATTGTAGACCTTTTTGTTTCAAAATGATATGGCAACAGGAAACACAAATAGGAGTCCATAGCCCTAGACATTGCTGAAAAATTCCACTTAGAAAGGTAGATGTGGTTTTATTTGCAATACTTGCACTAGATAAAGAGGCAGGTAGCTCAGCAGATGTGGCATAATAGCTTGTTTGGATAACAGAGTTAACAGCATTAAATTAACATTTCTCAAATGTGACTCCTTTTGGGGTGCGTGTGGAGTTCACGTGAGCTGACCTGTTTAATCAAGTCCCAGGTTATCTCTGAAATTAAATGGATGTTTGTTTCAGTTAGCTTGGAGAACTCCTCTCTTCCTTTCCTTTCTCTTGCTGCATTTGCTCTGTATTATGACAAATTCCCTTTTATCTGACTGTAGGTACAGAAAGTCCCATAAGCCTGAAAATGTTTTTTGACATTCATGGCTTTTAGAGTTAAGATTTTCAAAGGACTGCTGAAAATTATGACCTGCAGCTGTATTTTTATGAATCTGTGGCTCAGCTGAAAGAGGCCTTCTTCTGTCATAATAATCAGCCAAACTGCTACCAGCCCAGACCTTATAGCAGTGATCCCAGCAGGGACATCATGATAATGTATTTTAGTGAGTAGGGAAGTCACACAGGGCACAAGTAACAATTGCTGTTTAGAGATACACATTTACACATTAAAAACAAGGAAAAAAGAAAAAAAAAAAAAGAAAAAAAGAAGAAAAAAACGAGGAACAAAATTCATTGGAATTAACTCCTCTAGGAAAAGAGAGCATCTTTAACCTGGTAACACAATAACACAATTTGGCTTAATGCCTCACAAGGGACAAATTTTTAAACTAAGCACAAGAAGATTTACCATAGCTCCAAACATCACTCTGATGGGTAAATTTCCTGTAGTGTATGCACTCCAGAGCCATCCACTTAATTGGCATCTAGGGAAAGATTTGCAATACTTGTACTAGATAAAGAGGCAGGTAGCTCAGCAGATGTGGCATAATAGCTTGTTTGGATAACAGAGTTAACAGCATTAAATTAACATTTCTCAAATGTGACTCCTTTTGGGGTGCGTGTGGAGTTCACGTGAGCTGACCTGTTTAATCAAGTCCCAGGTTATCTCTGAAATTAAATGGATGTTTGTTTCAGTTAGCTTGGAGAACTCCTCTCTTCCTTTCCTTTCTCTTGCTGCATTTGCTCTGTATTATGACAAATTCCCTTTTATCTGACTGTAGGTACAGAAAGTCCCATAAGCCTGAAAATGTTTTTTGACATTCATGGCTTTTAGAGTTAAGATTTTCAAAGGACTGCTGAAAATTATGACCTGCAGCTGTATTTTTATGAATCTGTGGCTCAGCTGAAAGAGGCCTTCTTCTGTCATAATAATCAGCCAAACTGCTACCAGCCCAGACCTTATAGCAGTGATCCCAGCAGGGACATCATGATAATGTATTTTAGTGAGTAGGGAAGTCACACAGGGCACAAGTAACAATTGCTGTTTAGAGATACACATTTACACATTAAAAACAAGGAAAAAAGAAAAAAAAAAAAAGAAAAAAAGAAGAAAAAAACGAGGAACAAAATTCATTGGAATTAACTCCTCTAGGAAAAGAGAGCATCTTTAACCTGGTAACACAATAACACAATTTGGCTTAATGCCTCACAAGGGACAAATTTTTAAACTAAGCACAAGAAGATTTACCATAGCTCCAAACATCACTCTGATGGGTAAATTTCCTGTAGTGTATGCACTCCAGAGCCATCCACTTAATTGGCATCTAGGGAAAGACAGAGAAATATAACCTTAGAAATATGAAAACAATAGAGATAGATCCTGTACGTAGACATCAGCTTCCTCCCTGTTTCCTTTTTTAACTGCAGACTTCACAAAAAGCAGCACTACCAAGCAGGGAAAATGGTTGTTCCTGCCCTCTAGAAAGGAGCTTTGCCTCATAAAACACATGGAGGTGAGAAATGCGAACCAGTTACCTGCACAACTTCTTATAATACCTACATTTTACGGATTCAGTTGTAGTGGAACAACTCAATTTTTCATCATACCTGTGTAAAGATGAGAGCAACACAAAAATTATATCCGATCCCCCTAAATCTGACGTGTAGCAGAGAGGGTGGAATACAGAAGCTCTTTGGCAGCAACAGTTTGCAAAAGGAGGCACTGCTGTCTCAATTGCTCTCTGATGAGGCTAGTTAATAATGCAGTGTCCATAATGCTTCGCAGTCCACATAATCATCATCAGAGTAAACAGGCAATGGGGAGAATTTTCAGCGCTTAATTCTAACTCCTCATACTCCCTAGGAACTTAGCCTTCCCAGTTCTCCCTATCGTTATTGCGGTGAGAATAGCTGCTTCCAGAAGCAAGCCAGAAGTCTCAAGTTAGCTTTGGCTCTGAATCACCCCTGGGGAGAGTGGATCTCTTCTGACAGAGAAGACTGTGCAGACAAACGCAAACCTAGGTTTGGCATAATGATTTACCCTCTTAAGTTTGTGTTAAAATGAGATTCACAGTGCTTCCTATTCCTGAGCTGTGCCTGTGAGGCACGGTCTTGCAGTCCATTGATTTCTAATGGACAGACATTAAAACCAGATTTTTACCTGGCATGGACTCGTATGGATTGCCTCTAATTTGGAGCCACACTGAGGATAAAGCGGAGCGATACACCACTGCACGCAAAATCTGAACAGATGGTGGGTGTAAAAGCAGAGGATGTGTCTTCATTCAAACCCTTATGAAAATACCTTCTGTGAAGTTGACTAATGAACATAAGCTATACAGTTATGGCAAAAATAGCACTCTTTAATAAAGGTTGGCTTCAGACTTGCAAAGACAGTTCTTGCTCCTCCGTTTCACTCTGCAAAAGTGTATGGCTTTCATTCCCATTAAGTACGACTGGGTAGTTCCAAACTTTAACAACTGCTGAAGTACCAAAGCTGCTCATCAAGGGGTAACTCGGGTTGGAAGTGACCTCAGGAGGTCTCTAGCCCTCTGAACTTGGAATTCTTCAATGATGCGAACTGCATTGCATCCCTAGGCAACCTGATCAGTCACTGGACTGTCCTCATAGTGAAAAAGGTTTTCCTTTGATCCAGCCTGCATCTGTCTTAGCAGGCTCTCAATACAACTTAAAGCTGCAAATGTCTTCTGGATTTCAAAGGACACTTCTCTGGAACAGGGAAGTGGCACATCTGACACATAACCCCTGCTCCAGAACTCCCAACAGTGTTACTGGCCTCACAAGTCCAAGACACCATCTAACAGTTGCCAGGGAACAGCTGGTTTGCAAGGACCAGCTTGTTTTCTGTCATGCAGTAGCTGATGAAGGGAAGAGGCAGAGGGGTTATGGAAGAGGGGATTAAAGAACTGAAGAAATCAGGGAAGACTGCCAAAACTTCACCTTCCCTGCCAGGAGGTCTCTTTACTTGGGAAATGGGAAAGCACTGGTGACTCCTTTCAAGCTGTTCACCTCATTGACCAAAATGCCACTATAATCCATGCAACAGCTGCCAGGGGCAGCAGCACACAAATGAAGCAGTGGCACATCCAGAAGAAAAGCACACACTGGCAGCAGCTGTTTGTCCCAGACAAGGGCACGAGTGAGCACAGAAAAACACAGATGCAAGCAGACATAAAGCAAACTGAACATTCAGTAGAAGGAATGACAGGAGAGGCAGAATCCCTCGGGATTTTCTGACAGGTTGAAATGTGTAACTTCAAGATGTTTAGGGAGCAGACAGCAGCAGTATGTACTTACAGCCTTAACTTTCAGCCTTCTGAATTTTATAATGCATTCATCTGAAGGCATTAGAAAGAAGGTGGGGCACTATATGGATGTTGTGCAGTCTGTTGAAAAGTAATATGGGAAAATTCAAAACTTCAAAATTACCCTCAAGGTATCTTTCCGTGGCCTGGCATTCGGCATGGTATTGGAGACCTGGCTGCAAGAAATAGCATATGCATGCTCTTCCAGGCTGTCTGGAGAGGTGGCTCTTTGCTGAGTGTATGTAAACTGTCATGTGCTACAAATACAAACATGCCTTATGGCCTTTCTTTTTTTGCTTTCTGGAACATTACTTCTCTGGGAAAATAGGACTACAAGTTACTGAGGTCCACAATGACCAGAAAAAGGGAGTTGGCAGAAATGCCCTTGAACACCCATCAGTCATTGAATTGACTTAAGAAGTCTTCAAAACAAGACACAGAATGGAGCACGTGAACAAAACCCAATTCCGAGTGTAAAAACTGTGTAGACAATTATATTTCAGTACATGGAGAAGCTCACTAAGCAAAAAATGAGCGGTTGTTGTGTGTGCTGTCCCACACAGCTGTTTGCTAAGTCACTGACAGACTTTCCGAACTAGATAATAATCCTGTAGGGACACACTGCCCTGTGGAGTAACTTCAGGAGCTTGTCACAGTGATATATTTACTTACAGACATGTACAGCACTCACCTTTCCACCATCAGCATTATACTCCTTCTCATCTCCTTCCAAAAGTCTGGCCAACCCAAAGTCAGTAATCTTCACATGGTTTGGTGATTTCACCAAGACATTACGAGCTGCCAAGTCCCGGTGGACAAGTCTCCTCTCTTCCAGGTACATCATTCCCTAAAGGACAAAGAACAGTAAAATAATCTTAATGAGCCTCACATGATATCATAGAACTACTTTGACACACTGGTGTCATGTACAATTTCTGGTTCCCTTATTAGTATTCACAATAAGAAAATGGCCTAGAGGGCTGAAGTTTAACACTGCCCTTGCTCTGAGCAGGAGATGAGCTTAGATGTCCTTAGGTTCCTTCCAACATGAACGATATTTTAAGATTCTGTGGTAACTGCCAAAGGAAAAAGCCCAACAAAACACATAGTTACCTCCTTTGCTCCAGCAAATTTAAAATCTGAAAATGTGAGACAAAGAAAATAAGTATCATGGCCCTTATTTTTCAGAGAGGAAATGCGAAGATCATAAAAAATGATCAACTTAGCCAGAGCCCCATGGAAATTAGGCCAGACTGGGAAACAATCCCAGCTCTTCTACGTTCCATGCAGGTGTCTTCAGAACAAGATGAAGCTTCTTATTCATTTCCAAATGCTCTTCAGTTGGACATCAATTTTCACTACCCTCAGTGGATTTGAAGGAAAACAATTCTTTATTCCAACCACTGCGATCCGTTTGCCTTTTCACTCTCTTGAAATTTTGCATGTAGGATTATAATAAGACACTAGATCAATGGCCATTTTTTAAATGAGCATATATATTCTGTCAGATTTATTTCTGTTAACAAGCCCATCCAGCTGCCTTTAAAGATAAGGTAACATATACTCAAGCTGTCTGACCTTAACTGCCTTTACTCTGATGAGAGATGAACCATCTACCATCAATATGGAAGCTTACATGACACGGAGATGAACACCAAAGCTTGGTCTTATTAATTATATGACACACAAAGGATAGTCAGGCAGGGTTACAATTTCATTAAAAGGCATTTATGACATTAACCATTATTTAAGAACCTACAGATGAAATTACACACTTGATAATTACCCTTAAGGTATCTCTTAATATATTAGCTCTGTATAATATATATGGTAGTTTTTTTAAAAGTCATTGTTGAATATAGAAGAGATCATATTATTCCATAATACAAATGATAATTCAGAGACTCACAGCTAGTGATTAAGATAACCAGATTACTCAGTGTTGTTGGCCAGATTTTATTGTCTCTCACAATATGACAAGCTCACACATAGCCATGCTCATAATTACCAGGAGGATAGAGGTAGGTTTAAGCCAGCAATCATGGTCACTGGGCCACAATGTAGCCCTTTTTGGACAGAAAGTGGATGTCTTTACAGAAAGCATCAAGAGAAGCTATGAACTGCTGTGGATTTTAGGTGAAAAATTTCAGTGGAAACACTACGAAAAGGTTTCAAAATACAGGGGAGAACATCTGGCATAAGTACTGTTTCATTTTTAATGCAGTAGGCTTTGTTACAGTCAACACAAAGGTGGCTTGAAAAGGGACACAGGGACTCTGGTATAAAGCAAACGGGATTATTTTTTTGAAGCACTGCTAGTTGAAGTAAACACACCCTCCTGCCAATTGCAAATCAACACTTTTGGCTGTTGAACTATCAGTCTTTGAAAAAATATATTTATTTTTTTACATAAAATTAAAACCTGTAGGAAAAGGACAGATAAATCACCTAGGACAAACAGCAGTGAGTCACTCGACAGACACACCATGAAAACAGAGGCACCACTGCTTAGCATAACAGTTACCATCTGAAGAAATCCAGCCAGAAAAAGACAACGCAGTCAATAGCAACAACACTGCATAATAGAGGCAAAACAGCCACAGAAGTGGCCTGTAAAATTCAGACAGATTGAGAATTAATATAAGTCCTGTTTCACACCTCTAACACTGAACCAGACAGTGCTTCCGGGAAGCGTCAACACTGCCAATACCAATTACTGTGGAAAGCAGATGGACTACATGAACCTCCTGGTATCATGTCCCTCCCTTTCACCAGGGGGACTTGCAGCCAGTCTGATGCCATGTCTGCAGGTAGATGTCAACCGACCTGTCCAGAGGTGCCTCAGAAAGCCACTGAGAGACCACCATGCCCATGCTGTGTTGGGCCAAGCAGGGCCTCTGGTCCACAGTCACATGTTCAGCTTTGCTGCTCTTACAGAGAGTTAATCTAATCTTAAGAGTGGGCTCTGGGTGCCCTTACATATATGTGCAGTTCCTGAAAGTACTGCCCTTGAAGCCAGGATTCATGTGCAAACAGACTCCCTTGTGCTTCCACCAAACACTTTTCTCCTGCAGCTCACAACCTCCAGCTGACATGGGATTAAGAACCTTTCTTCGGTCTTGCACATTTCAGTGCAAAAGATGTCCTGCCTAAGCAAAAAGTCTCAGGGTGCTTCGTATGCTGCCTTTTACTGGTTTTAGGAAATATCTTAATTTTTTAGAATGAACAGAAATAGTTATAGATTTGACATAATTTCTAATATCCTTATTTGGTCAAAATTCTCAATACCTCAGAATAAGGAGGGAAGGAAAGAGAAGTTGAAACCTGCAAACAGATGTTTCTGAGTACAGTCTGATGAGGACACAAGAACCCAGAAAATTCAATGAGAGAATTTGGTTGGTATCAGAACACATTAGGCCCAAATCAAACTGTAATTTTTAATAGATCCATTTGCACCTCTAGGTACTGAAATGATATGACAATTCTGCACATTTCTTTTGGCAGAAATTAAGAACTAGAATTTCTGTCTTGTTAAAATTGAAACAGATGACCTGTACCAAAGCTTTAGCCTCCCATATTTAACTAAGGGTGGCAGGAATGGATGGTAACCATGTCCAGAAACAGCCTTCATTGAAAGAGTTAAAACAATCAAACTCTTAACCGTGTCTCCTTGGTCTTATTTTACCTTTTCTACATATTTAATTTCCAAGCAGTTTTTAAACATGTAGGCTAACCCTTCAGGATGTTCCACTGTTTGTTCTATATATTCCATGTATTTCAATCTTTTGCTATTATTTAATATCATCTCATTAAGATCATATGTTATTCAACCTAACCTTGGACACTCTTATGAACTAGAAGGATGTCTAATGACCAACCTGAAAACAGCTCCTAACCAACACCACACTTAGTTTTCTTCCCTACCCAGAAAAAGGGTAAAAATAGCTGTGTCTATGTATCATTGTGCTCACAGTTTACTTCACCTCTGTCAAACAAATTTTGCAGGGATTTTTCCCACCTGTGTTATCTGCAAAGCTAAAAAAACTAACCCATGTAGGGTTGGTCGATGGCTACAAAATCCTCTGCAGGTCCATGACCTGCAGAAATGCAAATCCTCTTAGGAATACCTAGTGTAAACATGTTCAATTTCCCTGATAGCCTATCAACAGCTGTTAAAGGTGGATGGTGGAAATACAGGAGAAAAGGTATACATATACATATGTTTTCAATAAAAGAGATTATATAAGCAGAATGAAAACAACCTAAAAATGGGAATCCTACATAACTCACTGCAGCAATACTGTCTAAACATATACAATACAATAGGAATCATCATCTGATGTAATTTTAGAACCAGGTAGGAAAAGTGCTCTATATGCATCCCTAATCTTTTTATGTGACACAGAAGCATGATAAGAAAATAGTCTCTGCATTACACAGCTGGTGCCATTACCACCCAAAAAGCTCATGAAAGACAGAATCGTAAGTGACCCTAGGGATCTGTTTGTAAAAGTGGCACCCTAAAGCCCAATCCAAAAGACACCAGCCTGTGCATTTGAGGTGTACTGTGGGAGTCTGGGAAACTGAAGCACCCTTCAGGACTTGTCCAAATTAGAGCTATGCAGATCCCTTGGAACTATCAGAGCCTAAAATGCCCAGATGATTAAAATCCCCTCCACTTCAGTTTATGTATTAGAATATCCAAAATAGGGTGGGATTTTTTATGTTGAAACCACTGAGAGGAAAAAGTTGAACATAAAGCCCTTAAATTGTCCCATCATCTCTGAGCCCAGATTCATCTCACACAAACACAAGAATCAGCCACAACGTACCCGTCACTGATACTTCCTCATCACAGCCTCTGGTTCCCTCCCAGAGAATGTCATTACAAATGCAATTACTGCTTGGTTGCTTTGACATAAAATGACTCTCTGTGTCAGTGTCTGATGCTATTAAGAAGTCAAACAGCCACTGCAAACAGCTGTAACACAGACAAGTTGAGCAAGTCCCTTTGTAACTTCAGGGTGAGCAAGGAATAGCCTTCTATCTCTCACAACTGTGTCCCTTATCCTCACCCAGTACCAGAGTCACGTACAAAGGCAAGCATGTGCTGCATGGATGTTTACCTAGACATACACAGCAGCAAAGCTGCCTGTAGCCTAGATCTCTTCTACCCCTGTGATTATGCAGCTGTGAACATCTGAATTCTCCTTTCAGAAGCAGACACGAATGCCCTTGTCAGGACTCCGATTAGTGTTAAAGGTCTTTTATCTTTGCCCACACAATTACTAACCTGCCCTGCCCACGTGTTTATACATTTCACACAAGACTTGCAACAGCACCAGGGAAACTAATAGCAGTGCTGAGGGGTAGAAGAAAAGGCTTGTAATTAGTAGCCAAGGCAGCTTTGTTCAAAGTAGGGAGGAGCACAGGAAAGATGTAAACAGCCATTAGAAGCTTCCTGCTTGTCACTTTTCAGCCTTGGTAACTTCCTATATAAAAACTAGGGGCAAAAAACCTCAGTAGCTTTAACTAGCTGAGGTGAATTGGGCACTCTATCCACCAGTAAACTCTTGGAGCTGGCTAGAAATAACAAAGAACAAAAATTATCTTGTTGGATAGACTAAAAGTTAGTCACTAAGAGCAATAAAAGAAGAAAGTATTTCCCAATTTTATAATGGAATGTCTATGAAGTCTCCAGGAGTGTGGACAGACAGTTTCGGGATGGGCATTTCAGGTACAGTCAGGCTCTTTTCAAAAGAAAAGTGTCAGACCTGAAAATGAAATAACACGTGCTGGCAACAAACTGAAGTAGGGCAGTGGAAAGATGACTTTGTGTCAGAAAAT